ATCCTGTTCCAGGCAGCCCATAAAAGGGGAATAGCAAAGCGATATCTTCTGTGGCAGAGAAACAGAATGACAGTGGAGACAGATCGATGCGTGGACATATGGGCGATACTATATGGTGGCAAAAATCATATTGCCAGTGAAAGGGAAAGTCGTTCTGGTCGTTCTTCCCACACTGCCGCCAGGAAACCACAAGGAAACCAGTCTGAGTCATCCGTTAGAGGGAACAGAGTACGGTGGCGATGCGTTTGGGGAATTCACTGATTTGGTGGCGACATCAACGGGCGGCATCAGCGGCAACGGCGGCGGCGGGAACAACACACAGTGCGTACCCACTTCCTGGAAACCTATCTCTGCCAGCTTCAGGTCCCACAATCCACACAATTATGAGCCGCCGTTAGAGCCGGGCTAGCACACCAACTCCCGCCACCAGATGTCAATGAAGCATGCAACTGCCACTGCCGCTTATCGCCGGTAACTGATTCGCGGTTTGGAGCTTTGGCTTTCTCAAGAGAAATGCCTGCCAGTGGTGTTGGTTTCGAGGATCGCCGGTGTGCTGGGCTGGAGATCAAGTTGATTGAAGTGCCTTTCGAAATACGGAATACAAACATGCCGAGTAGAACGAAGGAAAGGCTCTGGCCGTAGGAAGTGCAAACATACACAATCTGTGAAGGGATGCTACGATAATATTGTCTTTGGTCTCCCAAAAGGGTCCTTCCATCGCCCTAAAACTGCACAAAATGAGCAACGTGGCTGGCACTTCATTGGCCAGAAACACAGGCCATGGCCAAAAACTAAATACTTATACACCACCAGCTCCAAGTGCCTGGTGCTCGACACGAGGATGTAGCATGGATGCGGCATATGGAGGACTGCAGCCAGAGGACGAGAATCGAGAATGGATGGCGGATGGATGGGCCCCCAGCCAAGATGTGCCAAGTCAGCGTGATCTGCGCAAAGTGACGAGTTTTTAATGAATTTGTTTAACTCAGGTCAGGCCCTGGCACCTAGTACCACAGTCACAGACTCAGGGTCTCGGGATACGAATCGGATTCTGACCCGGATACAGTGGTTTCGAGGGGTAGAACTTTAGCCAAAAGGTTCCCAAGATATCGTTAGAATTCTATATAGAAGATGGATTTTAATCTTATTTAGCATTATCACTTGTTTAGCATTCTACCCAAAAACACTTCCCAGCATCATCTTGAACCACTGTGCCCTGCTGTCTTTAGAGATGCTTGAACAGACCCCATCCAAGTTGATGGCGCGACAGTCGAGGTCGCAGCCACAGTCCGTGGCAAGTGGCGATGATGGGGATATGTGGATATGGATGTGACTGCGACTGTGACTATGATGCTGGATGATTCGGTTGATGCCAAGGCTCAAGTGCGGCTGGGATGCTAGGATGCTCTGTGTGTGGAGGATGCTGAGGCGCTGACGGCCCGTGACGATATCCCAGGGCGAGGTGCCAGGAGATACTGGGTCTGGTCTGCAGTGAGTGAGTTCCTGCCTCTTGAGGTCGTCCAAGTCGTCATCGTCAGCGACGACGCCAGCGTCTGGGTCTAGGATGAGTGGTCTGGAATCTAGTAGAGCAAACAAAGGCAGCTAACACACTCGAGTTCCATCCAGTTTCCGACTGTCCAGTCCAGTCCACATGGTGACCATAATGGAGGTGGGGCACCATCCCGTGTCTCATGTCCTTCACAGTTCACTTTCGTTGACCACAAGGCGATGTCCGAGACGTTTTTTTTTTTTTTCACTTCATTTTTCCGCTGGCTGCTCTCTGTTTGCTCCTCTTGTGTTCAACAAAATGTTCCAAATTGTTGCGCACTGCAAACATCCCTGGAATTTGCGCTTAACAAACTTCGCCAAATGCTTTCTGTTTCTGTTTAAGCACTGAGAGGAATACTTTTGGTTGGAAAGTTATGTTATAGGGACTGTGTTTTATCATATCTTTAAGTTCTGTAAGCTAGTTTAAGTTAGAAATGTGTAAAATGCTGAAGAAAGATAACTTATTATTAATCTTAAAAGGCAAAGAAATATTTCTAATGATAAGTTTGGATTAAGAAACTCTGACGCTTCTTGGATACTAATCAAATCCCGTCAACATATTACATCTAAGCAAAGCCAAATCAATGGTCAATGCCACATTACCAGTTATTTTCACTCTCTGCTCACCTTTGACCGATTCATTTTTCATTTCCAAACCGTAATCTTCGCCTCAAATTGATTTTCAGTGTGTTTCCCCGTATCTTTACCTTATTTTTGGTGGTTCTTTGCCTTTTCGTTTTGCCTGAAATTTATACGCAGCCTGCAAATAATTAAAACGAGAGCTGAGCCGCCGCAAAGTGTCTCTTTTTCGTTCGCATATAGCATGTATGTATTTATGTATGTATGTATGGGTTTCCCACAACGAAAGACTTAGGCAACAAACTTGGCCGGAGCAGCCATCAACAGGCCATCAGAGAAGACAGGGCACAGTTATACACAGTCCATCCCCATATAATAGATCATTTTTCAAAGAGTTCAACTCTCTGTCAGGTATTTGTTTAATTCGATTAACCTCTGGGCGCCGTCCGCTGACTATAACTATAACGCTTGGCCCGTGAAGGCGACCACTACCACGACCACCAGCGGTTCGTTGGTTCCCACCATATTGGCAAGAGTCAGTCAGAAATGAAATCTATAAAACAAAGCACCAACCAGTTCCAATTTATCATCAAAACAGACATTAATTTTACACACATCGTAAGAAAAAGAGTTGAGCTGAGCTGAGTGGTGGCTGAGAGCTCAGCCACCCGGTTGATTTCATGCCTCGAAACGAGCCACAAAAATTAATGTTAATTAATTTGACTTAAACTGACGATTTCAACAGGCACATTACTGCGGGGCATATGGCAAATAAGCAACAGAAAAGCCACAAAAATAGCGACAAATCAAAATGGAAACGGAGTCAACTTTTTAACAGCGAAATTCCCCAATCGATGGTGCTCCACTGATAATGTTCGATTCTCCCCCCTACAAAACCAAATCCCACTTAAAAGCTTTTTATTTCAGAAAGACATCAAACTTAAGTCACTGCATAATTAACTTGTGCATTTTGAGGTTGGTAGAAATCTCATCCATTCGTTTTTATGCTTTGTTTGCTGGCCAATAACAGCGGCGATTTCTGGTCTTCGATCACAGTGCGCCAACACTGCAAATTCAATTAGGCCCGAACATGCTCTCACTTTATTAAATTAAACTGCACCCGAAAAATCGTGAGCCCAATTCTGAGTCAAAACCCGCTTGTATCTCTCTTGTATCTCTCACTCTCCTTCTCTCTCTCTCTCTCTCTCTCTCACTCCTTCTCTCTTTCATGCAGACACTGAAGAATGCAGAATGTTATCTTCGTTTTGCCGTCGTCTTGCCGAGTCTTCGGAGCGGAGCTTCTTCTCAGATCGCAACTCTGTCCTCGGGCCCGAGTAGAAATTCTCTAAACACGCTGTCAAGTTATGTCTACATTCCTTGATCATATTTTTTCCAACTGTTTTCATACCTCCGTTTTCCTTTGCCATCAAGGGTATATGCTTTTTGGCCACAAATAGCCAATCCAAAGTTGATTTAAATATTTATTTAGCATATCAATGCGGGGCATTTCTTGGGGGCTTTTAAAATTTATAAGGTTCGTGCCCTTTTGGCTAGCCAATAGTTTGGGTTTTCATATCACTCTAAAAGCGTTTGATATCAGTTTTATGTTTAAGCTTCAGAAGTTATAGCCTTTTAGCTGTAATATTATAAGTTCCTGGTCATAAACGATAAACAGCCGATCTCTAAAAGTGTCAAGTTAATCACATGAAATGGTATCGATATTAGACAGTTTAAGTATTGAGATTTATTAAAAGGGAAACTAGATATTGGGTTACTTTGAATCAGTTATAGTTTTAACTTACTTATCTAAGTGACTATAAAAATATTGGATATCAAAATGTCGATTCTTTTAACTCTCTTCCTTGGGCTCTTTGTTATTTTGCCTCATTCGCTCCTTGGGTATTTCGTTTCTTCCTGAAATGTTTGGCCTCTTCGGCGAATGACGAAGATAATCCTGAAAAGGAAAGGTTCTTCTCTTTCTCTCTATTTCTCACACTTTGCTTGGAAGCTCAACCTAAGTTTCATTTAACGCTCTCTAAAATATTCCACTTTTAAAAAGTTTGATTATTTAAATTTAAATCCATTAAAGCTAGCTAAAATATAGTTTTAAGATAACATTTCACGCTTACCACAATTTTATTTACGTTAATTTTTGGCCAATTTGTCATGAGTAACTTTCAAGTTTTGGAATATTTTAAGGAAAGCCATTAGGAATTTCTGGAACATAATATTTGACACTAACCACAACCATATACAGTTATCTTTAACGTGCTGATCTACATAAATATACTAACACCTAGAGTCACTTTTAAGTTTAGTTTTCTTTTCGTTTTAAGGATCTATCTTTTCCTCGAGGAACTCCCTTGAAAGCCCCGTAAGCGGCTTCCCCACTACGTAATCGTAATCGTAACCCTTTCCTTGCTCCTCGCACCGCTCTTTTCAAGGCGAATTCTAGTTTCTTAATGTGGCGCAGCAAATGTGCCGCGTTGAGCATAAAAATCAACAGAGGCAACAACAACAACAACCACCAGCGGTATTAAAAGCCTCCCACAGAATGTGATTGCTCTCTCCAGCTATGCCTCTCTCCCAGAGCTATGGCTCTCTCTGAGAGAGATAGATAGTTTTACTCTCACTCAGTTAAGTTGAGTGAAAATCCAGGCCGCTCTTTTTGAGTCTACCAAATCTACATGAGTATCTACATGGCCATGTCAAAAAGCGAGCACGTGTATTTCAATTGATAAATCATCGATTCACCTGAATGGGCTTAAATAATTTGAGCCACTATCTGATTTGGCATTTAAACACTCCATTTAAGTTTTCTATTATATATACTTTATGGAATTTTACAGCCAGTCTAGACTTTAGTTGACAAAATGTATCGAAGCTGCTATATCTTTTGGGCAATTTTCGTTTGGTTTTCAATCACCGGCGGCGAATCGAAAAGGGTTTGTATATTGGAATAAAGATACTTATAGTTAAAGTTATATCTTTTATTATATAGTTTTTGATATTGTTAAATTTTTTATCTTTCCCAGCAAATAGTCTACAACACCATAGAATGTTCTATCAAGGGAAAGGTTTTCTCAAAGGTCGACTGTCAGCTGTACTCGCGGCTGGCCATGAACCTCGCTGTGACCATTGGGGAACAGAAAGCTGATAAAATGGTGGTAGTTTGCGATGTAAAGTTTACTTACAAGGATCGGCAGAAGATAACACGAATAAGGAATCTCAATTTGGAGGTATGTCAAATGAGGAAGGTCACCGAAAGACGCTCTGTGCTGGGAATGTACTACAACGCACTTCGCAGGTCAGCTGTTAATTTCCCGAAGAAGTGTCCCTTCGAAAAAGTAAGTTTTAACTTGAAATAATATCTTTCATAAATATATAACTTTACCATCTTCTAGAACACCACATTGATAGTAAATCGATTACATTTTGGCTGGCAAGAAATACCGCAATACCTGCCCGACTCTAACTACTCTTTCGTGGGAAAGATTTATGCTAATAAAGAGCTGGGAATGGAGCTCAAGCTTACTGGTGGCTATTATGATATAAGCAATTATTCAATCTACACAAAGCCCTTAATTTAAATTTTAATAACATTTAATAATTGCTTAATTAATTGCTAAAGGAAAATGTAACTAAAGTTCTCCAATATCGAACTTGAAAATATGATAACAATTTCTGGGTTACAAAAAGTGTGTTTTATTACGTCTTTGAGATTAATTTCGAAATTTTTTATTTACTAATCAAAAAGATAAGAGATTCTTGGAAAATGAGAATGAATTTTCCTAAAACTCCTTTTTCTTGAGCCTCCAAAAATGATTCTTTACAGCAAATACTAAATAAACCCATAACAATTTTAATTCATGTTGAGTACCAACATCATTGAACCATTTTCCAGATTCTCTGTAATCAAACTAATTAACACTTTTCCTAGAAACACCCAAGGGCGGACACACTAATTAAAAGCCTTATTAAAAATGATTTTTCTTCTTTTAAGTTTTGTTTAATTTTTCTTATTTTACCCGAGAGAGCTGATGTAGATAGAGAGAGAGGCAGAGAGAGAGAGCGCGCAGTTGGAATTCAAAGAGAGCAAACCGCTATTTCACTCAACTCGAAACCGGCAAGAAGAAGCCCAGGATCCGAGAGAGCGCCTCATTGGCATGACTTTAACTAAGCCCGGCGAGAGCAGCTCGTACGTCAGTCTGTCAGCGAAACTCGAAGCGAGCGGTACGCATGCGCGCAGTTCGCATATCCGTCAAATACAAGATACAAAACCTCAAGTTTTCCGATACAGATACAGTGCGACAATCTAAACACGCGTTCGAACTTTAAGATCGCGAAAGAGAGACACCGAAGCACGGGGCAAGGAGTGTGAACATCATATGGACAGCGAAATAAATAAAGCGGAGGCATAAAAATTCCTCACATCGTTCGGTGCGCAGCAACGACGATCGAATGCGAACAAAAACCTAAAAAAATATATAAAATAAAAGTAAAGGAAAAGAAAAAAAAAACAAAAGCAAGTCCAAGGTGCCCGGCGCGGTGGAGTGACCAAAGGTGCGAGACAAGAAATTAAATTGATAAAATAAAGCCTAAAAAGCGGATGCCTAGGACTTTGTCTTTTACCCTTGGCCAGAACCAACACACGAACTTGTCGCGTTGTTGTTAGCTCTTCGCGGGCAATTATCGGGACGAATCGCGGGAATCTGGGAATTCGAGAGTGCTAAAGTGTGTGTATATCATATATATATTATATATATATATATATATATTTATATATATTGGTGGTGTGGCAAATAGCTCAGAGCCACGAAATTGGTTTTATCGGCGAACCGAAATCGCCAAACTGCACAAATCCAGAAATTAAAAACAAAAAGAGAGAAACTGTTAAGCTGAAGGGCAAGCCGGCCAGCCAGCCAGCCATCCAAGTCACCCAACCAACCAACCAACCAACCAACCAGCCAGCTAGCTAGCCATTCCACAAAATATTAACCCGCCGGGCTTACAACGCCAGCAAACAAACAAACAAACGGCCAGCAAAAATGTATAATAAAAAATTACAGCAAGTGATCGTGCAGAAAATAGATCGATAAACCCCAAACCCCAAACCCCGAACTCAAACCCCAAAAAAAAAAAGTAAAAAAAGAATTTATATAAGAGCGACGCGGTCCAGCGGAAAGTATAAAAATAAATAAACGAGCGACGATCAGCGAGCGATCAAGGAGCTAAAGCAGGAGGAGCACGTTTCTGGGTTTTTGTTTCAATTTCAATTGTGGAAATCGTAGAGGAAAAATTCGAACCGGTCTCCGGAGCCAAGTTGCCAACGAGGAGCGGAGGACGAAGGAAGCCGAGCAAACCCAGGAGAATCCGAACCACCGATATTTATTAAACAAAGACAGAAATTAATTTCACGATTTTTGTGAGGCTGCTGCACCGCTGCACTGCTGCACCACACCCCACCCGCCCCGTCCATGAGCGGCTTGAACTTTGAGCCTGAGGTCTGGTCTTCAACAGGGAACTAGGGATCGGGATCTTCGGCTCGCCGGCAAAATGTACGACATCAAGCGCCTGGAAGCGGGACAACAGAAACTACACCAAGCACAGCAAATCTTGGGCCTTGACCTAAGCGTCCAGCAGCAACAGCAACAGCAACAACAACAACAGCAACATCAACAACAACTCACCTGCAGCGTGATCACAGCGCCCGAGAACCGGGCTAATCCCAATCCCAATTCCAATCCCAGCGAGGCCACCCACATGACTTTGCTAACGCTGCGCCGGCGCCGTTCGCTGCAGCGACGAGCCTGCCTTCTGAGCATCCTGGCCGCCTTCGTCTTTGGTATGGCACTGGGCGTGGTTGTGCCCATGTTCGGCCTGCCCCGCCACTTGGATTCCCCGCCAAATCTAACGGAGGAGTTAGACATGGTCGCCGTGGAGCCACTAAGCAGTTACCGCGTGGAGTTCATAAAGGAGACGGCGGACGCCGAACTAAGTGCCGAACAGGTGTTCCGCAATGCTTTTCACCTGGAGCAGGACAAGAATGCCCCGGACTCGATGGTGGTGAAGAAACTGGACACCAACGATGGCAGCATCAAGGAGTTCCACGTTCAGCGCACGGCCAGCGGGCGATATCGCAAGGGTCCGGAGCGGAGGCTGTCCAAGAAGGTGCCGGAAAGGATTCCAGCACAGGAAGCCCTACATTCTCCGACCACCTCGCCTTCAAGTCCAACTAGCGAGAAAGCGGGTGTCATCGAGGATGATGTCTTCTGGGGACCCACTGTAGAGCAGGCTCTGCCCAAGGGATTCGCTTCGGAGGATCAACTCTCCTGGGAACGCTTCGTGGGCGAGCAGGGACGAGTAGTTCGACTGGAGCAAGGATGCGGAAGGATGCAGAACCGCTTGGTGGTCTTTGCTGATGGAACGCGAGCCTGTGCCCGCTACCGCCAGAACACGGATCAAATTCAGGGCGAGATCTTTAGCTACTATCTGGGCCAACTGTTGAACATAAGCAATTTGGCTCCGAGTGCCGCCACTGTGGTGGACACCAGTACGCCCAATTGGTCCGCTGCCCTGGGCGACATCACGCAGGCCCAGTGGAAGGAGCGCCGACCGGTGGTGCTAACCCGTTGGCTGTCCGATCTGGAGCCAGCTGGGATACCGCAACCCTTCCAGCCGCTGGAGCGGCACCTCAACAAGCACGATGTCTGGAATCTGACGCGGCACATGCAACCCGAAAGGCAGGCGCAGCAAGCACAGCAGACACAGGGATTACTCAAGCGGTTGGGGGCTGCCAGTTCGCCCGGCTCCGCTCATCAATCAAACGCGATTGAGGAGACAGGAACAGGAACAGAAACGGCCAACGGAGCGCTGGTGCAGCGACTAATTGAATTGGCACAATGGTCCGATTTAATCGTCTTCGATTACCTGATCGCGAACCTCGATCGCGTGGTTAATAACCTGTACAACTTCCAATGGAACGCCGACATCATGGCCGCGCCGGCCCACAATCTGGCCCGCCAGTCCGCCTCGCAGCTGCTCGTCTTCCTGGACAACGAGAGCGGCCTGCTGCACGGCTACCGGCTGCTTAAGAAGTACGAGGCATATCATAGTCTCTTGCTGGACAACCTCTGCGTCTTCCGGCGACCCACTATTGAGGCACTGCGTCGTCTTCGAGCAGCGGGAGCGGGACGCCGACTGCGTGACCTCTTCGAGCGAACAACCAGTGCGGGAGTACGAGATGTTCTACCTTCGCTGCCGGATAAGTCCGTCAAGATTCTAGTGGAGCGCATTGACCGGGTGCTGGGTCAGGTGCAAAAGTGCCAGGGAAGCTAATGAAGCCAGCCGTTTCCCACCTACACCTGCAACTCTCGACTGATAAGCTGTAAATACCGGAGCAGCAGTGGGTGCATCTTCATCTGGATCAGGATAGTAGCAGTAGTCAAGGGATCAGTGGCTAAGAAGAACTTTCAATCAGGGGGCGGGAGTCTTAGAAAAAATCTGTAACCAACTTTGAGAAGATGAACGATCGACCTATGCCACTGATCCCCAAGGAGATCCGAGTATTAAAGGGTGATCCACGAAACATACCTAACTTGTAAATGCCAGACTCTATCCATGAGTATTAAGCTTACCTATATCCGTAAATGTATCTTGTATAAAACTAAGCTTAGCTAGCGTTAACAATCTGTGTGATATTTGTCTAAGGAACCAGACTAAGTAGATTTCATTTTACGTTTACAACCAATAAACAACAAATATACCGAAAGATATGCCCCAAGTCGAATGTCACTTTGAAATATGGAAAAGCATCCAACAGATGCAGATGCTGAGATCCAGATGCAGATGCAGATACACGAGTATCTGGCTATCTGAGCACGCCTGCGCCTGTGAGAACTTACATAGTCATGACAATAAATTGTCATTGATCTTTTTTTGCAGGTGAGATGGAAGATGGTAGATGGGAGATGGAACTTGCCACATAATGCAGGCTCCACTTCCACACACATACACTTCTACAGCCATGGAGTTGGGGGTCTGCTTTTCATAATATCTTCATAAGCATTTGAGAGCTGCCTCTTTCTCTCTGCCACAGAGTTGGCAGCTCTTGGTTCTCCCAATCTTCAGATTCTCGAGTCGAGTGCAGAAAGATGAAGCCCCGCCAGAGCCAGTTCCAGATACTTTCCACACACACACACACACATGCATTGGTAGTGTATGCCTGAGTTGCACGCTCTTGTGGATACAACGTCTCCATCGATCCCTCTGTCCATCCCCACCGCCTTCCCTGTCTGACTTTAAGATTTAAGATCGCTGCTCATTAAGTGCGTCCGCGTGTCTCAGCGACAAGATGCTGAGAATCTCTCTTGCCTCCCTGTCGCACGTTTTGCATCTGATTTCGCTGCGTATATTTTATTGGACACCAGAGTAGTTCACGTAAATAAAAATGAAATGAACCAAGTGGAGCTTCACCAACGAGGAGTTGGACCTGGTCATGGCCATGGCTATGACTATGACTTTGGCCACTTTGGTGGATAGTTATCCTCGTGTGCTAACTACCAAAAAATGTGGCTCAGCCGAGAGTTAATCAACTCACGCTTCAGCTGAGCACAGATATTTTGATAACCCGTTTCGGACGCCGCAGATAAAGTATCTTCACTCCAGCAGAGTGAAAGAGCGCAGCGTTCGGCTAGTTTAATAAATATATCAAATAACCTAAAGACGTGTTAGGGAACTTGTGACTTTAACACGTTCTCCACTTCTCTCCACCAGAGCCCACTCTGGCCACAGAACTCATTTTCGAATATCGTCTTACCTTTTCGGTTTGGTTTTTATTTTATTTTTTCAGCCTCAACTTCGTCTTCGTTCTGTACAATGTAGTAAGAAGTTGCAGTGACTTGGAAGGGGCAGCAGGGTAACTTGGCATCTCTTTTTCTATACGGAATGAAACCATAATAAAACAATATAATTGAGATGGTTGGAGGAAGGTGGGAGCCCAGCTAGAGCAACCTGAGACAACGCACCATCTTACTGAGATCTGTGCGCCCACCAACCGAGTCTTTGTTTACATTTTACAGTTTACACGGTTTATGGCTTAAAAAAGGAAAAAGCAAAAAAAAAAAAAAACTGCAAATGCTGAACAAATGTGCCAACATCCACGGGCCAGGTTTTTATGAACTTATTAATACTGGCGAATGAAACCAAAATGTTTTACGACCAAATCATAAAACGCCCGAGGGCGCCATAAAACGTAATGCCACTAATGCTAATCCTCCACTCTACTAATTGCCTCTCGTCGACGGCGTGACAGAAAAGTTGGAATTTCTTTATAGAATCCAACGATCTGATCGATATATAACTTATACGAGCACTTAAATATGATCTAGCCAGGTTGTCTATCGAAAAGAATGAGCTTTATTCATCGGTATCTTAGGCTGGGAGATCCTAAAAGTTAATTGTGTTCATGGGTGGATCTAAGAAGTTAAGATTAGGTTTGGTAAACTGAATATTATATTAGCGATTGGAAGAAGGGAGTGATAACACTTTGATTTCCAAAGTTGTAAATTCCAAACCTTCTCTTTCCACATAAATCAAAATGAAGTTCCATTATCTATTACCTACCATGACTGCCAACATTAAATCACAGAATAAATCACTCAGTTAATACTTAAGAAACTTAGCAAACACTTTTAGTACAATCAGAAATAAAAGTTAGTAATAAAATTAATAGCTAGTTGGCCTTTTTTAAAGGCTGCAAGAAATGCCTGTACTTTCCCTTGGTAAATCACAGAAATCACAGTGTTTGTGGGGCATAAAAATGATTAGCATATTAGATATCCTGAAACTGCTTGTACACTCACTCCTTCCAACTAATTTCCGACTATAAAAATTTCAAGTTCAGGCCCATATATTTCAGACACGTATGTATGTTGGACTCTCTCGGACCTGGCCAATACATCCTGGCTAGTTGCCCGGCGATCAAGTCGTTGCCTCACTTTTTGTTCTTGACTGCCTGGCAGGGCAAACAAATCTGCCAGTTCCTTCTTGCCGTTGCTGTTGGTTGTTGGTTGTTGGCGTGGTCGGCTGTGTGCAAAATAATTTGCATATTTGTATGCTCACAAGCGCTGGCCAGCAAGGTACTCCACGATACTATATGGTGTAGTAGTATACTACAGTATGGTATATGAGGACAGAGATGCGGCACGTTGTTGCATGCAATATTTTCTCGTGCTCTGTGTGTGTGTGTTTACTCTTTTCGCTTTTATTTAATGTCCGCAGTGCCTCTCAGCAACTTGTAGCAGTTGCTGGTGCGTTTACAGCGAAAATTCTAAACAAATTGCTTCCGCACCTGCAGCTACGTCAGACATATAGATATATATACATAAACTATCAATATATATATATATATATATAGGAACAGCAGTAACTGAACAACAGTCAACTCCTTTGTGGCAAGCATAATGAGAGACATTCTGCCGTTGAGCTGCAACACCTTGCTGCAAGCAACAACATCAAAATAAAACATTTCCCACTCGTAAAAAGAAAGCATTGAGCCGGCAAATCGAATCGAACTGAATCATATCATATCATAATCCTGACAATGGGCCAGCAGGCCTTCTATACTATATAAAAGAAAGGGAGAGTTCTGAGTCGAATCGCTTTTCATCTCGGTTAAGTGCAACCCTTGGGGGCATGGGGGAAAATTATATGGAAAAACAAGAGGCATCTAGCTGAAAATTTATGGTCGGCACTTTTGGGATCTGATGATGAAGAAAAACCTTCTTTCATTTTACACCTGAAAAACATCCAGGGGCTGGGGCAGCGATGCTTAACTGCCTTTTCTTGGGAGTCGTCTCCTCTTGTTAACATTGCTAGCAATCGGTTAGAAGAAAGAGATGAAAGGTCGATAGTCTCTGATACTTTCTGATAGGCAAACGAGAGAGTCTCAAAACTAAGTCTCCGATAAGGCCCGCCGAGTGGACATTTTCCCACTAAAATATTTAACTTTTGATTTTAGTCAGGGGATAGTTTTTTATTTGTGACCATTAAACGATTTCGCTGATTAATTTAACAAAACTGGTCAACGATTCCGTCGTTTTGACATTGACGAAGTGCCGAAATTTGTCTGGGTTTGTTCTGATCTATCTGACATGGCACATTGGCCCCTCTGCCTGCTTGCTGCTGGCCCTATCTATCTGCATCTCCGGTAACCTGTTTTTTTTTGGTTTTGTCTGAAATCTGAAAAACTCAAAATAAGAAAAGCCAGAAATCTGTAGTCTGGAATCTGGAATCTTTTTGTTGTTGTGCTTAGAGCTGTGTGTGCTCTCTCGCTTCTCGGCTTCTCAGTCGAATCAGGTGAAGTGAGTTGATTGATTGCGCTAATTTATAACGACAATGGGTCAGATCGCACATGGGACCTTTGAGCTTCATCCCAGCAGAGGTGTATACACCGAAAAACCCAAAACCAAAACAGGCAAGGCAGACAGGGGGGCTGTTTGGAATCCATTAAACTTAGCCTGAGCCCAGCTTCTGCCAGCCAGCCAGCCAGCCATCCAGCCTGCCTGCCTGCCTGCCTACCTTGATGATGATGATGCGAGCTGCCCGCTGATGAATGAATCTTTTCAATTTGGAAATTTTCAAACAAATTTGTCAAAAACGCACAAGAAAGAGAGACAAAGAGAGGAGGAGCAGGCTGAAGATGAGGAGTAGGAGAGTTTATGCAAAGTAATGAAATTTCAAGTTTGTTGCCTAAGTCTTTTGTTCTTCGCCTGGCTATGCGTGCATTTTCTCTGCATTTTCCTAGTTAATTGCTCGTGATTGAATTATAAATGCATGCAACCCATCCAGTCGACCCTCCTCCGAGCTAATTCCATTGCCCATCTAACCGAATCCGACATGCCTGGCCCCAAATCTAAGGCAATCTCTGAGTTTCATAGAAACCATTCGAATATCATAAATTATAAAGCCTACAAGCTGAACTAGTCTAAGAAGGAAAGCGGTTCTCGAAACCCAAAAAAAAGGGGGGAAAAAATATACAAAAATCAAATGGAAACTCAAAACGCGCAGAGCGGAGACAAGCTTTAACACCTTGGCCCAAGTCAAGCATTTGTTGTTAAACAAAGACGAAGAGGGTCAACTACGGACGGAGAGACGAGTTTAAGGCAGTCCCAACGGGCGGTGATCTGAGAATGCAGGGGTATGGGGCAGGAGAAACAAATTAACAGACACCTGAAAATGGGCTCGAGACACCATCACCAACAGACAACGGAACGTTGGAACGTTTAAGATATGCGGGCTCTCATCTCATCTGGCGCGGCCTGGTCTGTTTTTGGAAAACCATTTCTCGAATAATTAAAACCCGAAGCCATCAAATGAAGACAAAGAGTCGATTAGTAATCTGTGCAAATGCATATGACGGAGCAGAGGCGTGGCCAGGTCCATAAAGCTCAAACCAGGAATAGATGCAACCCATGTTTAGTAAATCTATGAAAGAGAGCGGCGGGGTAGATGTTGTAATTTCCCGTTCCCGCGGGTTCTTCAGACTCCAAACTTCCAAGTCAATCGCAGAAGTGAGCTCTTTTAAGACCCCCCGTCATTTCTGTTCCTATTTTTGAACCGTTTCTATTGCTCTTTCAATTACAATCAGCGATCATGGATCTGTTTAATTAGCTGTTTGGGTCGCACCCCAATCCATGTAATTGACTGTGCCGGACTGGCTGACCTTCAGAACTACAAGCATTTTCCATCGCCCCGATCTGCATAATGAAAAT